TTTTACTCCATTTTATGTTGCTGCCCCCTTTGTCAAATATTAATTGACCATAGAGACTTGGGTTTATTTCTGAGCTTTCTGTTCTGTTCCATAGAAGCATCCCTCTAGTCTTATACTTTCTCTTGTTTGGGTAGCCCTGTGTGCATGCACCATAGCACTTTGCTAGTTCTACACCTCTCTGGGTGGGGCAAACCCACCTGCATGTGGGTACTAGAACATTTTGCTAGTTTCACACTCTTTCCAATGGAAGGGCCCTACTTGTACATTCCAGTGGATGCACAAAGCAGCAACCTACCATACCTGATGTATCAACCTCAGGGTGGGGCATTTCAATGCTTCTACAAATCATAACCTGTAAAATACAGAGGTTTCCTCAGAACTACAAAGTTTTATTTTTCTATGATGTAAAAATTTGCTGATCAGAATTTAGAGGTTTAGGGAAGTCAGCTCCTTGGAGCCTACTTAACCTGTGTTATAAGATGACCACTAAAAGAACCCAAGAAAGATTGCAATTGAGATGTTTCTTAAAATGAAAAGTATAAGTTTAAAATAGAATGTGATATTAGAGCCAAATTGATACAATAAAATGTAAAAATGGATTTTTGAGAACTTGTCCAATCTCATCAATTGTGAAAAATAATTTTAAATTGTTTCATTTTTGAATATATGATTTCATCAATCATGGGAGAAAACTAAAAAAAAAGTAGTTTCTGATTACAGAATAATGAACTTGGCTTATAGGGTGTCTGAAACTTGAAGAGACACATGGAGACAAAGGATAACACAATGAAAATTATATGAAATCACTTTTGCATCAGACACCTCTAAGTTTGGTCCTACTTATTCTGTGTGACCATGAGAAACTAATTTCATCTCTTTTACTTTCAATTTTCTCATCTGTAGAGGAACCTACTAATAAATATCTATCTTCCTCAAAGGGTTATAATGACCATTAAATAATATAACATCCAATCAAACTGCCACGCACAATCCTAGAACAAACAGACACTCAATGAAATTGGGTTAAATTTCCCCCAAATAGGGACAATGAAGATAATGTTTTTCTGAAACCTAAAAAAACAATTCATGAAAAGGCTGTACAGTCTTTATTATAGTAAAACAAAACTGTAGAAATGTAACCAGGTTATATTATCCAAGAATTAAACTTAAAGCTAAATTTTCATAAAATTTATTTTTTAAAGCAAATTTCAGGATATACATTCAAGACATTAAAGAATCTGTCTCTTATTAAAATATATGATGTGAATTATCAAGAGAAGACTTTTAAGAAACCTGCTTTCAAATCTCAAGCTTTTCTGAGCCTCTATGGAGTCTACTAGTGGAGATATGGAAAATCTCTTTATGGCCTTATAAGGATTTGATTTTACATCTGTCTTGACACTTTAGAACTTTGTTTAGAAAAACTATGATTTCTTTTGCAAAATTCCAGTGAACCCAGTAACTACAGAAGCTATTTCTGCTTTAATTTGTCAAATTTGAGAAATTCCCTGACTCTACAGGTGAGCAAAAACTGCCTTTTGTTATTCTCTATCCCACTACTATCTTACTTACTGAGCTCATACTTGTGCTGGGTGTAGAGAACATACAAGTTTCAGATATGCTCTTCAGGTTCTTGTCATGCATTTGCAAAGGTAGAGTCTATGCATACAAGTGAGTAAACATATAAACAAGTGTAGGCTAACTACCAAGTGAATGGTTCAGATACTACTATGTACAAGCCTGTACTTAGACTGGAGGCAGCTAAATAAAGGAAGTGGCATAACGGAAAGCAGCAGAAGCCAACAGAGAAATCAGCGTTCTAGTCACAAGACACCAGAAGCAGAGGCAGTGAGAAGCACTCCAAAAGGGGGTGCTCTGCCAGAATAGACAACTAGAGAATACTTTTGAACAAAAAATAAGTTATCCTTTGGGTACTCCCAGAAGAAAGTTAGGGATTTCACAGAGGCAGACTTTCTTTAGGCAGAGAAACAAAGTTTCAGGTTTTTATAAGTGATGTGATTCCATTAGTATCTACAAGCTGGTGAGGTGAGGTCTGAAGAAGTTTTAGGTACTGCACAAACAACATACATGTGTATGTGTATTTTATGCAAATATGAACCCTCTTGTATATGTTCTTAAGACACATGCTTTTAAATATAACATTGATTTATTTATTATAAACATCTTCTAACATCAATAAATATTCACCCAAAACATCACTAGTGTTATCTGCACTTCTAATCATACCCTCATTCCCCACTCTTTCTGTATCAATTTTTAGAATTGCTTACTCTACCATCTTTAGATTTGCATTTGCTAGCATGGTGAATAATGATAGTACTGGCTCTTTTATTTGTAACCTTAATTCCCTGAGTATTTTAATAAAAACCATTAGAAATTAGGAATTTATAGTTATCACTAAGAAACCCCATTACTTAGTAAAAGGAAATATTGTGGTTATGGTTAGAACAATTTTATAAAATGGCCAAAGGCACAAGGTTTCCAAAATAAGAAATTATTCAATTATGGTTAATGCTGGTATATCAAGATTTTATTTATAAGGATACCATGGTTCTCCCTCCTTAAAACTGAAGACAGCAACTTTGGACCAATAGGACATGGTCTGCATGGTTTAAAATAAACACTGAAACAATGGATATGAGTAAATGGGTCTATGACAATAACTTTAAAATATTTTTAGAATTTTAATTAAAATTATCAAGCTGCATTTCAATAATAAAACAAAAATTTGCATGCATGCTGAATGTGTTTTAAAAACACATTACTGAGCCCAGATGTATGGATTTAACTCAAGCATTATGACTTAAAAATGCTATTTGCCTAACCTTAGTAGAACTTACTCTGATAGGAGGTACGGATCCGTTTCGTTAAATCAGGATAAAAGTTAGACAGGCCACGCATGCAAAAGTTGTCTTTGGAACATGCCAGAACACCAGCATCAGCAGCAGGCAGGGGAAAGAGAGAGAAAGAGTCTAAAGTGAAAGGCAGTGATATCATACCAGAAACTAGAACAGCCAAGATGAAGAAATTGCAGCAAATTTAGGTAATCAAATTAGAAAAAAGATACTAAAAAAATTAATTAGAAAGTAAAATATGGTAGATGAATGATGAGAATGCTGTAGTAATTTTATTTAATCAAACATCTTGTAAAAATGGAAGGCATATTTATCGTGCTTTTTCATGTAGTAAACTTATTTGTCTTGCAAATAACACATTGCCTCATAAATATCAAAATGGTTGTCTTTAATTTGCAGTATTAAAAAGAAAGCTTAGGAAGTTTAGTCTGTAATATTTTATTTTTATAACAAAGTGAGTACTCATTTTTACACTAAATGCAAAATTTATGACTTCATTACAGTTTTTCCTAATCTACAAATCACCAAAACTCTAAGCTCTAATCATAAATGTTAAGGCTCAACAAGATTAAGTAACAGTTGTATTACCTGTCAACCTGCTGTGTATATGCAGCAGTAACTAGATACTGTCAGAGAATACAAAGGTTTTTTGATTGAATTGGTGCTTTCAGTATGCATACAGTGCCTGCTATCTCCTAGCATCTTAATACTCTAGAGTCCATGAACTTTCAAAAGTCAACCTTCTTTTTCCAAGTCACGAGGGAATCTAATGATACACTCGTGCACAATTCCTCCTGTTTTGTCTTCCTTTCAAAAGCCAGTAGTGTTTGAAGCAGAACCTATAAAATTTGAAATTTCTAGTGCTCCAAAAATATTGCTAAAAGTTGAGATCCCTAACAAATAAAAAACAAAAAATCCAGGTTTTGAAACAGAACTTCTGTGTTCCTGTAAAGGGTCAAAACTAGCATTTTGAAAGGGGCTGAAGTTTCCAAATGAAAAATAAAAAGATTTCAGTATATCGAGTACTTTTTTCATTAGAAAAGTGAAACTTTAGTATCACATCCAGATCTTAAATTTGGCACACCTGCTATTTAGAACATAATACCTACCATCATCCACTGTTTTTATTTAAAAATACTCTCACATGAGTATATTTAGTAAAGTCTTCAGTCTTCAATTGATTAAAAAAATTTTTTAAAAACTATCTTCTTAACTGGTGTCACTCCAATAAATTCAATTTTAAAATGGTCTAAAAACTTTTAAAAACTGTGTATTTTCTGTCCACTGACATATACTTTAAATATATTTCCATCTATGAAGCTTTCAACCTAATTTTTTACCTAACTTTTTTAACCGAATGATGTCAGTGTACTGAAAATATGCAGAAGTTTGACAATGTGTAGAAAGTCAACTATATAAATATATATTGAAATTTTAGTAAAGGTTTGGATGATTTGGCATATCTAACTTTGACACTATGTAGGAAGTATTTCTGTTTAAATCCTAATTAATCATTTTTATTTTTCTTTTATAGTTAAATAAATCAACTTATTGATCCTGTCAAGAAAAATGTTATTTTGTTTAACATTTTAAATGTTAATTAATAATGCATTTGTTAAAATACTCCTAGAAAGTCATCACCCAACCAGGCAAGATGAAAGCTAAAGTATGGAGTTAATTTAAAAAATTAAAAGAAGTAATAACTATGTTTAACTTTTACCTAAACAAATGACTACTTTTAACTTAAACTTTTAACAATTATATTTTTAAAGGGGCCAGTTATACTGGAAGAAAATTATTCTCTTTAATGCAACCATTGAAAGCAGCATTTTCAACTAGAGAGCCTGATTTTCATAACATTTTTATATTTAATAGCTTATTTTCTAGGACTTCAACCTAATAAACTTGATATGCTTCCTAATTTTAACACTGCCTTGAAGTTTAAACACATCATTTACTTTTTCTAAGATTCTTATGTTTCTGTTTTTACTTACATGATATTATAAATTATATTCACTTTATATTGCCATGCATTATAACAGCATCACAGAAGAAAGAAGAAATCTAAAGGTAAGAAAGCAGACAAACTAATCAAGTTTATAATCATCTTGTTTTAGCTCCTACCTGCAATGAACTGCTTGTTTTTTCGAGGAGACCGTGGTTGTCGTTGGTATAGGTCACTTGATCTATATAGGTCAATGGTCCCCATGCTTAACAGTACTGTCTTCTGTATAAAATCCACCACAGCCAACCCATTGCAGTTCCCAAATGCAACTCTGAGAGAAAAAAAATGCAACTAGAATGTATCACACCAACCATTATTATTTTTGCCTTTGAATTAAAAATAAGATTATGGGAAAGTAATGCTATAGGGTTGGGGCTGTCAGGCAGTAACTGGAGCAAATCAAAGGATACTGTGCCTTTACATAGGATTGGCTGACCTTATATAATAGCCATAGTATAATTTTTCACATAAAAATATAATTGATCTCAGTATGATTATGAGCACTACAAAAGATGGGAATGACCTGTACATGCATTTTATCATGTAAATAGTAATTAGCTATTCTGCTCCTTAACTTTGTCTTATATTTTTGCAGAAGAATCATGTAGCATCTTTTGGCCATGCACTGGGAAACAGGTCAAGAAATGCCACATTTTTAAAAGCTACAGATGCTTAGATATGTAATTAGGTGCCTTTCTGAAATAAAATTATAAATTATTAGGCTCCAAATTAGTTATCTAAGGATAACTAAGGATATTTTAACACAAAATATTATATATAAAAATTCATATCTCTAAAAAGTTTTGACACTGTAATAGTTATAAACAGATATAAATTTCATTTACAAAAGATTAAAATTTTCCTACTTCTTTGCTCTTTATTTGGCCCACTTATGAAAAGACAAAGACCATTGACTAATTTTAAAACTAAATCTCCTGAGAAATTTAAACTGTTTTTGTACACAGTCATTTTGATCACTTCAACCATTAGGCATAAAATAATTCCATTTTTTCTCAATTTATAGCATGACTTCCAGCTGAAAAATTGTAAATCTGTATTTTTTGCTTCCCTAAACATATGTTAAATAGACACTAGTTGTATCAATGCTGTTTTGCTTATTTTATATAACTACCGCATTGCTTTATTTTTTAGATTAAATCTGGTTGGCAAATCATCTGCTTATTCTGGATCTAGTTCTTTCCACTCCTTACACCACCTTCCTTACAACAAATTAAAAGTTCTAGGATTCAAGTGAATAGATGATTTGCTATTTCACACAGAGCTTTATATCTTCCAGTAAGACAGATTTTGGAAACTGGAAAAAGAATTGTTATAAAAGATAAAAGACCCCATATCAATTATTTCATAAGCTGTTTGACTTTGAGAAAAATTAATGAATCTTGCTAGGCCTGTTTAGTTTCTTTATAATGAGAATTATAATACTAGATTTATCTAGTTTATAGGACCTTTAGGAACATCAAATCAGCAATTTGTTAATATACTTTGAAAAATTTCCACACAGAATTGATCTCAATATTATTATAACTAAATGCAATGTTATATATATTACATATTATAGTAAGTCACTATGTTTATACTTTTATGTTAAAATATAGTTAATTACTTCTGCCTATAAATATGATACAGTTCCCAAATGTAGTAATACTGACAGGGGGAAAAAAAGGCAATTAGAATGTATGATCCCAACCAAAATAATAATAATAATAATTTTTTAATCCTTATCCAAAAATATGTTTATTGATTTTAGAGAGAGGAAGGGAGAGAGAGAGAAACATCAATTAGTTGCCTCCCATATATTCTCTGACCAGGAATCAAACCCACTATCTTTTGGTGTATGAGACAGCACTCTGACCAACTGAGCCATCCAGCCATAGCCAAAATAATTATTTTTATCTATGAATAAAAAATAAAAATACTGGAGTGATGTCAGCATGATGGCAGAGTGAGAAAACCTCTTGGTTTCTCCCTTTGAAGTTATCAGTTGGATAACTATAATTCAACAAATGATTCCATGCTCAACAATACACATATCTGAGAGATCTGCACATTGAGGCATCTAAAGGTAGGTGTGTTGAAGTAAGCAGGGAAAAGATGGAGACAAAGGCCACAACACAGTGCTAGATTCACTATGGCCCCACCTGATGCACTAGCAATGAAAGGTCAGGGTGAAGCCCTTATCAGCAGCTCAGAGAGGAACAGAGACAGCATTCTGGCCTGAGTGGCTAACACATTGTGGCTGAGCTCACTGATAGGGGAGGATATATGGTTAAAAGGTCTGGCAGCCTCAGTCTGGCAGCTCCCATTACCAGAGAAAAAAATGACACATATGCACAAATGCCTCCCCATTCCTGTCACCCACCCAGTACCAGGTGATGCAGTAGCAGTGGAGGTATTGAGTTGTAGCCCTTTCAACAGACTGGAAAGAGCTAAAGGAACAGAAACATCATTCCAGCTAGTTGCAGTGGAAGAAACTAAGCTGCATCATGTGAATCCACCCCTCCCTGTCCAACTCTTTCCTCATCCATCACGGCAGCTGAGACACCTCAGATAGTACAGCATTGACTCCATTAGAAAGAGGAATATAAGAATAATGGATATACCACAAGGAGAGGAAAACAGAGAGCCTATTCAAACAAATAATTGATGAGAACTTCCCAAACCATTGAAAAGAGTTGGAACTTTGAATCCAAGAAGCTCATAGAACACCTAATTACCTGAATGCAAAGAGATCTTCTCTAAGATACATTATATAAAAAACTGTCAAAAGTTAATGACAAAAAAATTCTCAAGACATCCAGAAATAGGGGCCAGAGAGGACTGTAACCTATAAAGAAATGCCCAGTGGATTATCATTGAATTTTTCAGCAGAAGCCTTATGAGCTAGAAAAACATGAAATCAAATATGTAAGTATTTAAAGAAAGAAATCAACATCCAAGAATAATATATCCAGCAAAGTTATCCTTTAGACATGAAGGAGAAATAAAGCTTTTTTTCACACAAAAGCAGAGAGACTTTACCACCACAAGACCTTCACTACAAGAAGTGTTGAAAGAAGCTATTTTATCTGAAACAAACAAAAAACACAAAAATAAAAGAGAATATAATGAAAAAGAATATAAAACTATATGATAACAGACAGAAGCTGGAAATTACAACTCTATTTAAGAATAGAGTATTAAACAGTTATAACATAAAGATTAAAGGAGAAAAAAGCATTTTAAAAGTTAAAGGGGGTAAAAGGATTTTTAAAAGGTTATAAATTCTGGAATTAAAAAATGAATATACAGAATTAAAAAAGAAATAATTTTTAACAAAAACATAAAAAGGAGAAGAAAAGCAATGAACTTGTACAGGTGGCTGGAGTTAAGGTGCACTCAGATGAAGAGGGACTATTATATGTATAAAACTATCCATTATGTAGACCTAACAGTAATTGCAAAACAAATATCTAGAACAGAGACACCTATATATTAAAAAAACACAGAAAACTGTATTTGAACAATAATTAAATAAGTTAAAAAAAACAATAGAGAACAAAAATCACAGACTACCACCAAACTAAAATAGCAGACAAAAACATAGGGAAAAGGAAAACAATGGAGATACAGAGCAACCACACACACACACAAAAGATAAAATGGCTACATTATGTCCTCATTTATCAATAGTTACCATAAATGTAAATGGACTGAACTCACTAACAAAAAGGCAGAGAGTAGTGGGATGGATTAAGAGACAAAAGCCATTTACATGTTGCCTTTAAAACACTATTTCAGATAAGAGACAAACATAGATTCAAAGTGAAGGAGTAGAAAATGATACTAAAAAAATGGCATTTAAGAAGACAGTGGCAAGTTGTTGCAGAGTAAGAGGAACTTTCTTCCACCTCCTCCCAGAACCAAACAGGAAATAAAACTAAAGAGCGGGACAGCCACCCAAAATAAAAAACCAAAGGCTACCTGAAAAAGAGACTTATATCAAAGAAAAGCCAGAAATCAACTAGAGACCAATAGGAAAAGTGGTACAGTGAGAGGGGATGAGCTTATGACACAGCTGTGGGAGCTTCCCCAAGAAGAGAGAAACCTGAACCTCGCACTAGGCTCCCAAGCATGCAGCAACAGTGCCCGGGCTCAGCTGCCCTTGTTGTAAGTATCCAGTGGTGAAAGGCCACAGGGTTTGTTTCTGCTGGGGAGACATCCTGCTGGACACAGAGCCACTATATTTTTTTTCTTAAAGGGACCTAGGCACAGGTTTTGAATTTGCAGCCACTCACTTTGGGCTCCAGCAAAGGGAGGGCAGTGTGGACATGAGCAACATGAGGAGAGTCTGGAGTGGGAGATGTTGGGGAGAGACATGAGGGAAAGGCTGTAGGGATTTCTGTGCCAGGATATACCTCAGTGCTGCAGCAGCCATCTTTCCTGAGAAGAGAAAGCTCCCCCGCAGGAAAAAACAGTTACCCTACCCTGTGGGATACTGCTTGCCCCAGACTGCATCTCTTTCTCTTTGTTTGTTTTGTGTCATCTTGTTTTGTTTTGCTTTTTATCTTCTTTTTTTCTTCCATACTGCATTTTACCTCTGCTGAGAAGAGAGCAACATATGCAGATGCATGGGTTGTCAGAGACTGGCTTTAGGGCCCAGACATGCCATACACTTTCCCAGGAACCAGACTGGTAGGTACCCCTCCCAGTACAGACATAGAAACACCCTCCTGGTTTCCTGTTTCCTGCAGACCAAAACTCTGGGCTCTGGAGGCCCTACCCACCAGCCTACTAGGGCTGCCCAGCCAAGCTCAAGGCAGTAATCTGTAACAGACTCAGACAAGTGGCTCAGGAATACACTCACCATCTTCACTGAAGTCTGAAATGCATCTCTTGTGGGAGAACCACACACCTCCCCTGAATCCACCAGAAGATCTCTCAGAAGGAGTCTGGTCAGCAACTAGTCTAAGACTCACAGCAGGCTGGCAGGCAGGGGTGGGGCATGTGGTGCCTTGGAACACTTACTGACCAGTATCCTGGACCCAATGCTGATAAAAGCCAGCTCTGCAGCACAGCATGGCCTAACCTGTGTGCAGCCAATCCCAGAGGAAACACCTACAAATTGTGAGTTGCTTGTAGCTTCAAACAGGCTGCTGAGGGCTAGACATGGATAGCACCTGACACTGACTTACACCAGCTTCGGACATCAGAGCTATATCCAAAGGGAGAACCCAGCAGGCAGCCACTAAATTCTGCTGAGACAAATTCCAC